ACAGTAGTTATACTGTCTACATTAGACATGATATTGTAATATTTATACAATTGGATTTAAAATTGAATCGATTTACAATCAACGGAAGTTAAAATTAACTTACTAATAGTTAACGGTATTTCCAACTCTTTATACTTGACGGTAACTCAAAGTACTTTCATTACTAACCCCGTTAATTTTAATAGATAAATCTTCGATTTAGAGTTTGAAGTTTGAATTAAACAAATTAAAATTGACGGTAGTTAAACTTAAAATTCATAGCACCTAAAATACGGTATTTACCACTGGTGGTCGTTAAAATTGACGGTAAATTTAATTAAATTAGTTACAATTGACGGTAGTTAAAACTAGTAGCCTACAGTAGATAAAAGTTAAAACTGCGAAATCTTTGCATTTGACGGTAGTTACAATTACAGTTGACGATTTTTAGAACTAACAGTAGCAAAATTAGACGGTAGTTACAAATAGTAGTAACTTACGGTAGTAAAAATTAAAATAGTTACAATAATCGACAGCAGTTACAATTGACGGTAATTGGAGTTGATTAAATGAATACAGACAATATTTACAACTGACGGTAATTAGAGTCTTTTTTAAGTGAATACATACGGTATTTACAACTGATGGTACTTAAAGTTATTTAATGACTGTCGACAGTAATTTTAGTGGTTACAATTGACGATAATTTAAGTTATTTTAGTGACTATCGACGGTGGTTATAATTGACAGTAATTACAGTCAATTCAATGAATACCGACGATATTTACAATTGACGGTAATTAGAGTTAATTCAATGAATACCGACGATATTTAAAAACTGACGGTAATTATGGTGAATTTAGTGACTATCGACGGTAGTTACAATTGACGGTAGTTAGAGTTAATTCAGTGAATCCCGACGGTATTTACAAATAACGCTAATTGGAATGAATTTAGTGACTATCGATGGTAGTTATATTTCACGGTAATTAGAGTTAATTCAGTGAATACCGACGATATTTACAACTGACGCTAATTAGAGTTATTCTGATTACCGACGATAGTTACTATTGACAGTATTATTTAAGTCAATTAAGTTAACATCATCAGTATATACAACTGACGGTAATTGAGGTTCATTCATAGTGATATCAGGGGGTATTTACTATTGACGGTAATTAGAGTTAATTCAGTGAATACACGATATTTACAACTTACAGTAATTCAGGTAACATTGTCAGTAGTTACAATTGACGGTAATTAGAGTTAACTCTGTGAATACCGACGATATTTTCAACTGTCGCTAATTATAGTGAATTTAGTGACTTTCGACGTTAGTTACAATTGACGGTAATTAGAGTTATTTCAGTGAATACCGACGATACTTACAATTGACGGTAATTACAGTTGATTCAATGAATACCGACGATATTTAAAACTGACGGTAATTATAGTGAATTTAGTGACTATCGACGGTAGTTACAATTGACGGTAGTTAGAGTTAATTCAATGAATACCGACGATATTTAAAACTGACGGTAATTATAGTGAATTTAGTGACTATCGACGGTAGTTACAATTAACGGTAGTTAGAGTTAATTCAGTGAATACCGACGATATTTACAACTGACGCTAATTAGAGTTATTCTGATTACCGACGATAGTTACTATTGACAGTATTATTTAAGTCAATTAAGTTAACATCATCAGTATATACAACTGACGGTAATTGAGGTTAATTCAGTAAATATCGGCGGTATTTACTATTGACGGTAATTATAGTTAATTCAGTGAACACACGATATTTACAACTGACAGTAATTCAGGTATCATCGTTGGTAGTTACAATTGACGATAATTAGAGTTAATTCAGTGAATACCGTCCGTATTTAGGAGTGACGTATTTATAGTGAATTTAGTGACTATCAACGGTAGTTACAATTGACTGTAATTAGAGTTAATTCAGCGTCTATTGGTAAAAGTTACAATTGACGGTAGTTAGAGTTAATTCTGTACATGCTGACGGTACTTAAAACTGACGCTCATTTGAGTGAATTTAGTGACTATGGACGGTAGTTACAATTGACGATAATAAGAGTTAATTCAGTAAATACCGACGGTATTTACAACTGACGGTAATTTAAGTTTTTTTAGTTACTATCGACGGTATTATAAATTACAACAGACGGTAATTATAGTTGATTTGTTTAACAGCGGCAGTATTGCCATATAATAGTGACGATAGTTACGGAATTAATTTATTATCAGCACTCGATTGTAATTAGCTCTTTTACCAATGCTACCAGCAATAAATTATAGTCAAACATCAGACGGTAATGTAACCGTCTACTTGAAGTAGAGAAAATAACAATTTTAATAGCTGCAAATTAGAGGAGTTAAAAAAATGACCAATTTAATTGGTTAATTTAGCCCTTTTAATGTAAGCGACGTGTATAAGGTATCTCTCGCTAGTTTCCGAGTTACTGATTTGACCTTTTACTTTAACGGGTTGAGTTCAGTGGCGTGTGAAAATCGTGCCGACGAGAAATCTCTCGAAGATGGGTAAAGAGTTCAAATTCCGGAGCAAATTTTCTCTCTCTCTCTCTCTCTCACCCAAATTCAAGAAAGCTACTATATAGTAAATGCATCCGGCGATTTCACGTTCACCGAAAAATTTCCTTTATTTTTTGCTTCCTTTTTTTGTTTGGACATCGATAGCACACGTAAAGGGTTCAAGCCACGATCCAAATAGCTCGAATTTCCGGACCTCTTTGGCGCCAGTCGATCTATTTTTTATCCATTTCCCAATACGCATTTCTTTATTTGAAAATAACATTTTTTTAAGGGAACGATATTAATTTTATGTATATAAATTTTTCATTGGGCGAAAATTTCGAATTTTTTTTTTTTGATACTGTTCTTTTATTTTTTTCGAAAAAGAAATATGTGTTGTTTTTAAGTGAAAAATGATTTTATTTGTTGAAAATTGACTTAATTTTTTTTTTTATTTTGTTATTGTTAAGACATTCTTGCACATGTTCTTTTAGCCGGAACGAATTTGAAATCATAGTATTTCTGTTATATAGATTTTGGCCAGAGCCATTACAACTCAACGCGCGAGTCAGTCGCGATATATTTATACGGGCAAGAGGGCGCGGGCACATCTGTTTCAGTGGGCACGTGTCCCCGGAATTAGAACGGGGTATCACCGAAATACGCGACACCCGCGTCAGAATATCCAATTTTCCATCTTCCACACGGTATTATATATGTATATATGAGTGAGCCATTCGTTCTTGGAAGCTCTTGATAATTCCTGATGCATCATCTCTCAAAATTCTTACCCTTATTTCGGTATATGTATACACATATATTCCCCCATGTGTTAACACCGGAAATTTCAGTCTGCACGGAACTTTGAATTTTTTCTAAAAATACAATTTTCATTTAAATAAAAAAAACTAGTACATATTTTGCGAAAATGGGATCTTTTTTTTAAATAAAATAATTAGTTATAAATTATTTTATATGTGAAAAGATTGAAAAAAAGGAATTTTTGGCATAAATCACATTTTGACAGAAGTCTTCTTTAGAAAGAATAAAGTATATTTGACATGAATATTTTCTGTGTAAATCACATTTGACATAAGTCTTCTTTATCATAAAGTATATTTGACATAAATATTTTTTACGTAAATCACATTTGACAAGTCTTCCTTGTCAAAAATCACATTTGACATAAATCTCATTTGACATAAATCACATACAACATAATTCTCATGTGACAAGAATTTCTTCTTTGTCATAAATCACATTTGACATAAATATTTTCTGTCGAAAATCACATTTGACATAAGTCTTCTTTATCATAAAGTATATTTGACATAAATATTTTCTACGTAAATCACATTTGACATAAATCTACTTTGTCATAAATCACATTTGACATAAATCTCATTTGACATAAATCACATACAACATAATTCTCATGTGACAAGAATTTCTTCTTTGTCATAAATCACATTTGACATAAATATTTTCTGTCGAAAATCACATTTGACATAAGTCTTCTTTATCATAAAGTATATTTGACATAAATATTTTTTACGTAAATCACATTTGACAAGTCTTCCTTATCAAAAATCACATTTGACATAAATCTTCTATTTGTCAGAAATCACACTTGACATAAATCTTTTCTGTCATAAGTCACATTTGACATAAGTATTTTCTTTGCAAAATCACATTTCACATAAATCTACTTTGTCATAAATCACATTTGAAACAAATTGCCTATAAATATAAATCTTACGTAACAATTCTTTTGAATCATAAATCGCATGTGATTTTAATCTTATGCAACATAAATCTCATGTGACAATTATTTTTTGACATAAATTGCATATGATATAAATCTTATGTGACAAAAATTTCCTGTGACAAAAATCTTCTGTAACATAAATCTTCTGTGACATAAATCTCCTGTGACATAAATCTCATGTGACATAAATATATGTGACACAAATCTCATGACAATAAGATTTATGCCACAATTTATACCAAATGAGATTTATGTAAAATAAAATTTATGCCAAATGTGATTTATGTATAATAAAATTTATATCAAATGTGATTTATGTAACAATAAAATTCATGTCAAGTGCCATTTATACATTTGAATTTTTCTGGTCACGTGAGATTAATGTTAAATAAATTTGTAAGTCAAATAACATTCATCTCTATTGTGATTTATGTATAAATGTGATTTATGTCAAGTACGATTATGACAATATTTCTGCTCCAGTTGTTATACAATTTTAAACGAAATCTATACTATCATTCGTTAAAAGAATAATATATTTTTAATTGTCAATCGTAGTGTTTAGTTTCATTTTTCCCCCTGAGTAATAGTTTAAACGTGTCAGTTGTTTGCTGACCGAAAAAGAATATTGACAACTAGCAATTATTCACGAGGTGTCGATCACAATATAAACGAAATTTTTTTTTCCTTTTTTTTGCAGAACCCATCATCGACAATGGTAAACGATTCATCAAATCGAATAGCGAGTGTCTGACAGCTCATAAAATGTTGAATCGGTGAGTGTTATACATTCTATATACATATTTCTTGTTTTTTTTATTTAAAAATTTTTTAACACTCTAAATTTGAATTATTAAAAAGGTTTATTAATTTTAATTAGTGAGTGATTTTTTTCTTTTTAATTAGTGAACTTTACTAATAAATAGTAATTTCTACTATAATAAATAATAACTTCTACTAATAAACAACAGACTTTGCCCTCCATAATTAATTAGTTAGCAAGAATTTAAGAAATAAAGGTGATTAATCCTGGAAATAGTGAACTAGGAAAAATATTTTTTTTTTTCGAAAATGACTCGTTGAAAAAAAGTTCTTTTTCTGCGAAGTTTTAACAATTATTTTCGCAATAAGACCGGGGGGGTTAATGGAGACATTGACCTGTTTAGATTAAACATTTTTCTGAATTTCGTGAATCGATTATAGTGTTTCGTAAAAAAGAAAAATTTGCAAGAATTAACGATTCTTTAATTTTTGTTTATCATATATATATATAGCATTCTTTTCGAGAGAATATAATTTTGAATTCTCTTATAGTTGCTCCCGATTCCAGTTTAATTTTTCGATGCCAGATGCAGAACGATGCGAAAGTTGTTTAAGAGAGGACAAAGAAAAAAAAAGAAAAGATGAGAAAAAAAAGAAGTCGTTGCCGACAGTAGCGCCGAACCGAGATCGTCGGAGCCGACAAGGTCCATATCAAAGTATATGCACTTGTGCCGCGATATGACGCAGATAGGCTGAGCAAATTTAATGGCGGTTACTTGATATCGCACCTCGGTTATTATACGAGAGCGGAATTGATTTTTCTTTTGCGTCCTATCGCCATTAGTGTTATCTTCCTCCATTTTTTTATTCTTCAAAGAAAAAAAGAACGGTACCTTATTCCTTTCGGGATATTTTATTGAGTAATTTGACATTCGTTTTTTTTGTTGCGTCTTCTTTCGAATTCAGAGTTGCCACGCAACCTGGAAACCTGGAAAACCTGCAAATGTCAGGGAATTTTATAAACCTTGAAAAAACCTGGAAAAGTCAGGGAATTTTGATTGGAATCCTGGAAAATTATTGTTTTCTAAAGCTATTGTGCTTATTCTTGAAATCTAATTTTTCTTTAATTCAATTTTCTTAATTCAATTTTAAAAGAGTTACCTTCACAGTTTTTCTTCGCAATAATTCAACTATTTTGATAAATAATCAAATGTTTTTTTTATGGAGATTCAATTATTTTCATAAATAATAAAAAACTTTATAGATTTACAATTATTTTCATAAATAATATGACTCATCGCAGAATTTCAATTATTTTCAATACAATTTTAATGGAATTTCTCGAAAAATTAAATTATTCGTCAAAATTTTATTAAAATTCATCAATGAAATTCAATTATTTTAAAAAGCCTTCCTGTCATTTATTTGTTAGAATTTGAGTATTATTGTCAATACATTTTTAATTAAATTTCTTGAAAGAATTCGATTATTTTCAAAAATTTTAATTAAATTCTATTTAACAATTCAATTTATTTTCATTAAAATTTTAATAAAATTCTTCGTAGAAATTTCATTAATTTCTATAATTTATATAAATTCAATTTTTTTCAATATTTACTATTTCAATAAAATTTCACAAAAGAATTCAATTAGGTATTTAAAAAGAAATATTATTCAAAAATTCCTCTGAAGAATTCAATTATTTTCAAAAGTTATAAAATTCTTCGCAAAAATTTAATTATGGTCAAAAGTTTGAAAAAATTATAGTCAAAATTTCAATTATCTTTATAAATATTAAAATTTGTCTCCAAAATGCAATTATTTTCAAAAATTTTAATGAAATTCTTTTTTACAAATTCAATTTTTTTTCAAAAATTCTCCTCCATTCAATGTTCTTCAATATCTTCTATTTTAATAAAATTATCCAAAAGAAATGAATTATTTTAAAAATTTTTTGATAAAACTCTAAACAAACCTTTTATTATTTTTATAAATAACAAATATTTCACAGCAATTCAATTATTTACAAATTTTTTAAAAATTTCTTTGCAATAATTCCATTACTTTCCAAAATATTCAATTAATTTTCACAGAGATTCAATTATTTTTATAAATATTAAAGAACTTTTTCAAAAATTATTAAAAATAGTAAATTTATGGTGTTTAGTTAAAAACACGAAAAAAATTCAATTTTGTAAAAGTTACAAATTATTGGAAAAATTCAATTATTTTCCAGAGTAATAATATTCTTCGCAAAAATTAAATATTGTTCAAAAGTAATAAAATTCTTCTTAGGGATTCAATTATTTTCAAAATATTAATTTTTCACTGAAATTCAATTCTTTTTAAAACATTTTAATAAAATTTTTCGCAATAATTCAATTATTTTCATAAATAATAACATTTTTCTCTGGAATTCAATTATTTTTGAAAATTTTAATAAAATTCTTAACAACTATTCAATTATTTTCATAAATAATAAAATTCATCGCAGGATTTCAATTATTTTTAATACGATTTTACAGGAATTGATCAAAAAATGTAATTATTCTAAAAAATTTAATTTCAATTCCTCGAAAAAATCAATTATTTAAAAAAATGTTTTTTTAAAATTTTTTTCGAAGAATCCAATTATTTACAAAAATATTAGAATATTTCACAGGAATTCAATTATATCCAAATATTTTGATAAAATTGACAGAAAGAAATCAATTATTTTAAATACAATTTTAATTTATAATTAAATTTTTTTTGAAATAATTCAATTATTCTTTGAGATTATAATAAAATTCTTCTCAAGAATTCAATTATTTACATAAATAATTCTTCGAAAGAATTCTATTCTGTCGATAAATAACAAAATTATTTCCTAAAATTCAATTATTTTCAGGCATTTTGATAAAATTCTTTGCAAAATTCAATTATGTTCATAAATAACAATATTCATCATAAAAATTCAATTATTTTTAAAAGTAATAAATTTTTGCTTGGAAATTTAATTATTTTAAAAAACTCTAATAAAATCGTTCGCAAGAATTCAATTATATTTTCATAAATAATAAAATGCCACACAGACATTCAATTATTTACAAAAATATTAAATTTTTTTACAGCAATTCAATTATTTTCAAATATTTTAATAATAAAACTCAATGCTGAATTTTAATTATTTTTAATAAAATTTTAATCGAATTTCTCGAAAAATTTAATTCTTTTTTTAAATTTTATTAAAATTCGTTGATAGAATTGAATTATTTGAAAATTTGTTGATAACGATTCTTTATGAGATTTTAATTTTAAGAAACATTGAATTATTTAATAAATTATTTATTTTTGTCTTTAAATAATTGAATTGTCGTTTAATTTTCTAATTATAATGGATTCAAATATGAATTTCAGTTAAAATTGTAGATAATTGAATTTTGATCTTATTAATAATAATTAATTTAAAGAAGAATTTTAGTTAAAAATTCTGTTTTTTGACCTGGAGAACCTGGAAAAGTCAGGGAATTTAAAATGAGCAAAAGCGTGGCAACCCAGATTTACCATTTTTTGGAAATTTTTATTTTGTGATGAATGTGGAAATGTAATTTTATTTTTTTGAAAATTTTCACTCTTAATGAATGTGGAATATTAATTTTATTTTTTGGGGAAATTTTCATTCTCAATGAATGTGGAATATTAATTTTATTCTTTAGGAAATTTTTCATTCCCGACGAAAGTAAAAAATTAATTATTCCTTAGGAAATTTTTCATTCTCGAGAAAAAAGTAGAAAATTAATTATTTTTGAGAAAATTTTTATTTTTATTTTTATTTTTAGCAATAAAAAAATTCAACTTTTCTGAATCAATCTTTTTTCTTGATTTTGCAATAGACTACTTTGAAAAACACGCTGTAAATTCTTCTCGGTTGTATCAATATTTTTGTTTCTCTCTCAATGCTGCAGATGTTTCTGTTCATAAAGTCTTTTTTCGCATTTTTTCGAACATGATTTTTGTAGCCGGGTGTTTATAGTAAACAATAATTTTATAAGGTCGAATTTTTATTTACCTGAATTTTCATATTTTGCTTTTTTATTTTTCCAAGCGAATTTTTATTTAGTTTTTTTTTTTTTATTGAAAATTATAAAGTTAAATTTTATAAAGATGCTTTCTATAAATTTGACTCCTTTGAGTGAATTTACTTATCTTGGTCTAGAGCAAAATTTATATTTAAATAATAAAAAATAAAAAAAAGTTTTCTAAAGTTTCTGATTGTCAATTTTCTTATTTAGTTATAGATATGAGTGCGAAGCCTGAAATAGTAATTTCTTTTCATGAATAGTAATTTTTACTTATATACGATTATATATTAAAATTTCCGAAAATTGCAGTAACAACTGTGAGTAATTTCCAGTGAAAACTTGCAACGAAAATTGCAATGTTATAAAATATAAATTCACTTGAATAAAAATGAATTCCACTATAAATACTTAAGAACACGCAACTCTAAAATTTCCATATAAATTCTTGCCGATAAAAAATCACTATATACCAAAAAATCGTGATAATTTTTCAAAAAGAACATGACGGTATAAAATTGAATAAAACACGTATACACGTGCTATATCGTACACATTCAGCTGCATTCAGACGAAAATAAAAAGATTAAAAGAATAAAAAGAAGATATAATAAAGTATTATAAAATTTGACGTTCCGCGTTATTAAAAGAAAATTACACTTTATTATAAAAGTCTCGTGTAATGTATATACGTGAAATGCGCCAAATGGCATCATAAGTGGACCATCAAAAGAAGAACTCTCGCGAGAAGATTTGCACGCGGCTTGGCCAATTGAATGTGTAAAAGAGATGTAGGTGTGTTGGTGTTGGTGTGTTGTCGATGCAAGCATGGAATGCAGCTTCGAGCCAAACTCAGTCTTGTTGACCGGCTACTGTATACACGAAAGAGAAGTCCTTTATCATCCTGGGACGTGAAACGAGACGTCGTAATGTGACTCGAAAGCATCTTTTTT